GAGTGATTAAGAGGCAGCGATCCAGGATTGTGAGAGGGATGTCTGACTGGATCCCCAGGATTGGGCCTCAATCGGCAGTCAGGCATCTCCCAAGTGGTCCCGAATTGGAGAGGGTGCAGACTGGGCTGAAGGGATTACCCCCTCCCTGCATGAATTTCGTGCACCAGGCCTCTATTATAATAAAATGGGCTAAAGCTAATAAGTTCTTGTATTTATGTGTGCTCTCTCACACCTCCATTTTTTCCCTATAGGATAGCGGGGGTCATTGCTTCGTGATACTTCATGCGAGAAAATCTATATGTTGCAAACTCAAGATGATCCACTATGTGATATAGTTACCCCAGACTGAATAATCAGACCATGTCCTTAGTGAGGGAAATGATGATCTTCAGTGCTGCTGTGTCCACTTAGTCTGTGTAGAGCATGTGGTGTCTTGGGAAAAGACACTGAGATGATCAGGGAGTCTTAAAATTGTATCAAGAACCTTATAAGCACCCAATTTGTTTAGCATAAAGAAAACAAAATTGGGCTAGGAGATCATTTCAGTTTTCTCTTCAATGTTTGAAGGTCTGTCTTGGGAATATCTAGAGTCACCTAGTGAGTGGAAGTTACAGGGACATATTTCGTCTAAGTGTAGGAAAACACAATAGAAGACTTGACTTGACGGTGGGATAAGTTGTTGTCTCTGGGAAAATGCAACCTTCAGTCAGGGTTGGGGGTAGACACTGGGTGGATAGTGGGATGTGGGTTAGGCTGTTCTGTGTGTGTGTGTGTGTGTGTGTGTGTGTGTGTTTCTCCAACTTTGTAAATATATTTTAGTGAATTAGCAAAAATAAATTTAGTAAAATATTTAGTCAAAACTGACCTCCTCCTTTTTTTAAAAATATCAGACTTAGATATAATTGCCATAAAATGTAGTCCTTATCTCAAACAAGGAGTTTTGTGGTGATTACACAAGGTACTATAATTGCCAAAATTACTTAATTCCAATTGGTTTTCCACACTTCATTCAGAGTAATCATTACCAAACACTGGTCTCTTCATACCGCCTCCTTGCTTTAGGCACAGTCACTCTGTGTATCATCGTATCATTAAGATAAAGCTACCCATTCTTTTTTTTTTTCTTTTTTTAAAATATATTTTATTGTTTTTTTACAGAGAGGAAGAGAGAGAGAGAGTTAGAAACATCAATGAGCGAGAGACATCGATCAGCTGCCTCTTGCACACCTCCTACTGGGGATGTGCCCACAACCAAGGTACACGCCCTTGACCGGAATCGAACCCGGGACCTTTCAGTCTGCAGGCCGATACTCTATCCACCGAGCCAAACTGGTCTCAGCTAAAGCTACCCATTCTTAACATGGCCCACAAAGTCCAGCAAGGTCTACCGCTACTCACTACTCCAGTTTTATGTTACATCACCCGCCGTTTCCAGTTCAACCATGTCGGCCTTCTAGTAATTTCTCAAGTGCACACTGTGCTCCCATTTGCCACATATCAGTTGTCATGCTGTTGTTTTTTCTGCATGGATGGCCTTCTTATTCCTAGATGATGCCTGCTGTCATCCTCCAGGCCTTGGTTCATTTTTAACTTAAGCAAGGAAGTGTTTCTAACCTTCCTACTGAGATCTCATGTCCTGTCACACATGCTCATACTCTGCATTTCTCATTCACATTATTGACCACTGTTGCAATTTACATTTGATTATGTAACTATTTGATTCAATATCTGCTTTTCCTGCTAAAATATAAGCATCCAAAGGCATGTTCTGTTCTTCGTTCACTGTTGAACCCCTGGTGCCTTGCCATATGTGCAAATCACACTGAACGTGTTGAGTGAGTAATGTAAGCGGAACACTTTCTATAAAGTCCTGAAGAGAACATTTGGAGAAAGAACGGGATATGGTGATCCTAAGGCGATAAATTCATCTTATATAGTGCTTGCATTTTTAAAGACTTTTTCCCCCCCCACAAAAGTCCTAAGAGCTAAGTATATTACATTATATTAACTTTACAGATAAAGGCATTTTATCTTTGTCAACTTTGCAGACGAGGGTAGTTAACCAGATCAAGACTCATAGTTATTAAGTAGAAAATTTAAGGTAAGAAACCATGAGTTTGAGATTTTTAGGAAAATAACCAGCCACTTGATATACCCAGGTGTTATATTCATCACTTCCTTCAAATGGCATAGTGTCTTATAATTTTTTTTAATAGGACTGTCTTAGTTTGGGCTGCTATAACCAAATACCATACACTGAGTAGCTCACACAACAAACATTCATTTTTACGGTTCTGGAGGCTGGGGAATTCAAGATCAAAGTAACAGCAGACTCACTGTTGGGTGAGGGATCTTTTCTTGGTTTGCAGTCAGCCATCTTCTTGATGTGTCTTCCCATGGAGAAGAGGGAGGTGAGCTCTTGTCTCTTCCTCCTCTTTAAGAGAACTGATCATAACATGGGTTCTCCCTTCAAGATCTTATCTAACCCTAACTACCTCCCTAAGGCTCTACCTCCACATGCCCTCGCATTAGGTTTCCACATGTGAATTTTGGGGCACAAACATTTCGTCTATATAGCAAGAACTAAGCTATGTTTTATTAATATCTATCTAAATTATAATTTTAGTTTTAAAAATTACATATGGTTTTCTCCATTATATTTTAGAGAGCCTTGACAGGTAGGATTTTAAATGAGAAAGTAACACTGCCATCTAGTGACAACTAACCTGAATGAAATTTGAAAACTAGACTAGGTAGCTGGTTAAGGTCCCAAGGAATGGTGAAGCAAGTTATTCCCAGGGAGTGGGAAGGGCACATAACTTAGGCAGTCAGTTCTTTTCAGAAGCCATTTGAGGCAGTTTATTCTTAAGGAAGTCATGGATGAATAATAAACAAAGCAGATGCCCTGGTTTGTAGAATGTTACCCAGGTAGTAAGCTGATGATTGTGCCACTTTGCTTTGATCTGTCTCCATTTTCCTCACTCTCGCCACAGCTTCTGAATGAGGGAATTTGTACTCTGATAACCTAACAAAATGTTTTCATCTTAGTTGAAAGAGCTAAGCACATTCAAGAACAAACATAGATGAGGAAATGAGTCCTTGGTAAAATTTCTGGTTAGATCTTGCAGCATCTAAAGGAAGAAGTGGAATGCCAAAATAAACTGCATCTGTCCCAAGGGAACACTTAGAGCCACTTTGAATTAAATTGCTGAGTGATTTAATGTAAACAACATAATAAAACACTCCAGAGACACAAAAATAGTTAGAAAATGAAGTATAAGAATTTTCTTTAATGTATTGAACCACAAGGAAATTTGTATAACTTATTTGTATCTCTTAAGTCCTAAATTTAATATGGTAGACTTTAAGCTGATGCATTTTAAGTGAATTATTGTCCTGATACATTAATATTGCCAGAAAAATATTATCTAAAATTCCTTGAGTTAAAAAAATTTTTTTATGTACAGAAGCCAGGTCAAAAGATATAAAAATTATTCTTTTTCTCTGGAGGCCTAAATAACAAAAACCCATCATTTTCAAAGAATAATTATATTTCTGATCAAGGTGAGAAAATTATACTTAACATTTTTAAAGATAGTCTGTAGAGGATTATTCTATTTGTCCAGTTACTGGTACATATAATGAACAGTCTCCCTAAGGTGTTCTGACTTATGATGTAGAAATAGCCTAACTGGAAATATTAAATTTTTTATATAAGTCAATGAAAATTATTGGTTTTCTGACACTACTTATTACCTGGTTTCCCCTTCAGGAATAATATTTCATATACTGACAATAAAGAATGTGTAATAGACTTGCTATTTCACCAAGAGTTAAGTTGGAAATCTCAGGGCACAAACCATTTTAAGATTAAGATAAGAAAAGCATCTGAGTTGCACTTATTTCTTAGCCAATATCCTTAAAATAATAATGTTATGTTTATTTCTGGAAAAGTGTACAGATATGACCTTATCTCTTGTTTTCATATGATAAACTATTCATTGGATTAGTAGTACCAGACAATAGCAAATGACAATCTAGCAAGAATTGGATTAAAATTAGTTGCCAAAAAGCATTGCATCAATACTGAAGGGGGGACAGATTTTTTTTTTTTTAAAGTGTGTTGTGCAATGTAGTTTTGATTAGCTTTGCATGAGACACAGCTGATCTGGGACCTCTCCTAATTTTGGGTCAGGGTCAAACTCTAGCTTTGTGCTGACGATGAAACCTGAAAGATGAGTAGTTAGTAAGGTGAAGAGCTTACAGGCAGGTGGTGGTGTGGAAGGGGGCTCAGAATGTTCTAGAGAGAGAATGTCAACTGCAAGTAGAAAAAACAAACAAACAAACCTTAAATATATAGAGAAAACATAAACACAAAGCTCGGTTTGAAGTTCTTGGTATCTAATCGACCAACAGAGGATTCAACACTGCAGTAGTGTGGAAGTGAAGAATATATGGAGGCTCTCTAGGACTCTTTTTTTAAAAAAAATATATATTTTATTGATTTTACACAGAGAGGAATTGAGAGGGATAGAGAGTTAGAAATGTCGATAAGAGAGATACATAGACCAGCTGCCTCTTGCACACCCCCTACTGGGGATGTGCCCACAACCAAGGTACGTGCCCTTGACCGGAATCAAACCCGGGACCTTTCATTCCGCAGACCGACGCACTAACCACTGAGCCAAACCAGTTTCGGCTCTCTAGGACTCTTGAACAGCATGAACAGCATGGAGGGGCAGAACAAGAAATGGACTTCGTGCTGGAAAAATGTACTCGGCCAGAATAACAGTAGTAGAAATGAGAGGTCTAGCTTTTATGGCAGTGCTGGAGCAGAAATAAACCAGTTTCTCTTGGGTTTTGGTGAGGGGAAAGTGGGAAGTTATTCAACACTCTGGGCATTTACCACAATCCTTAAAGGGAGCAGGGTGAGGTCTGTAGCATGTTTGCAGTGTACCCGTGCCTTTGGCTGTGTTTTGACCCTGGCTTTATTTGTTCAGCTAGGATTGTGTCTAAGCAGAGCTTCCGCATCTGTTCTTAACCTCAACTGCAGCCTCATCCTGTTACCCATGTGCCGGACACTCCTGGCTTACCTTCGAGGATCCCAGAAGGTAAGAAACATAAAATTCTAGTCACAGGTCGCAGCATACAAATCCAGTGCAACAGCAGCAGGTTAGTCCTGCTTAGTTCTCCCTGTCTGATTTTCTGCTAGAGCCATTGCTTCAGACATGACAGGGAAGACCATGTCACCTGCCAAGATGATTAGTGAACTATTCCAGAAAATAGCACTAAAGGCAGAGGGTTATCGAACAAATTACTAATAGTGGCATTGAGTGCTATGCTAAGCATTTCTCATATTTAACTGTGAAGTCTCACGGTGATTCTGTAATCAGACATTGCAGATGCAGAAGCTGAGGAATACAGGGTTTAAGTCACTGGAAGATCATGAGACCAATGAAAGGCAGAGCTAAGATCAGTCCTCGTTCTGAGCTCTTTCCATAGTACTCTGCCTCATCGCGATCCTGTTTTTCATTTAGTTCAGTCCCTGAGAGCACACACCAGCTCTGTGGCTTTTGAGCAATGCACAGAATGAGTATTAGTGTTGATGGCAATTTATCTCTTAAAATACATACCTCTTTTGAGCAACATAATAGGCTTAGAAAATGTCTTGATTAAATAGTGGTGTCATGTGTGGATATTTAGTGTAAAATGAAGGATTTAAGAAAACAGACAAGCACTTTGAAATTCTTTTTGTCAATTATCCGTGTGTGTGTGTGTGTATGTGTATGTGTGTGTATGTGTGTGTGTGTGTGTGTGTGTGTGTGTGTGTGTGGTGTATGCTGTATTGTGGTCATTCCTTTCTTCTCTAAGATGGTAAGACACTACTGCATAGATACTGATATTTGAAAAAGAGTTGTAAATGTGAGGTCACTTTGCTGTCCTGTGAACTTTATATGACTGGATTTACTACAGTAATACTGCTCAACCTTTCCATGTGATTACATTTGGAAACTCTACTTTTAATGTGGCAATTTGTGGAAATAACTCTTGGTTGCCTACCACTGTAAAATGTGGGTTGTGATCTCTGCGGCTGGCTTTTGGCTCGGCATGAAGAAAAAGGAAACAAATGGCAGGAGATTACAAGTGCCCGTCTAGGTCTCTCATATTTAATGTCTTAAAGAATTGTCCCTGAGTGTGAAACATAGTTATTCAAAGATGGTTGACATTTTATTTTTCTTAAGATCAAACAGGCATTTAAATGAAATTTATTTCTTTTAAAATATAACCTTTCTTTATTTTTACTGCAAAAGGAAATCATATATATAGAGTGAAATCCAAAAATTCCAGAAATATCTGAAGTAATCAGTGAAGGTTTCCCCTAGCATTTCTCCTTCAGGACAACCGCTGATTACAATTTGGGGTAAATACCTACGGATAAGTTAACATAGAATGCTACTAATTTTAAACAATATAGGATTTTATGTTTTATAACTCTTACCTAACAATAAATCTTACACATTTCTCAATATCAATAATAAGTCTGCTCACATTCTGTTTAATGGTTTGACTGTTCCTTTGATTAGATATATCATAATTTGTCTCACTGGTTTTTAACTTGATAGCGTCTGTCATGTTTCTAAAACACTGATATTATAAAAATGCTGTAGTGAAAAGCTTTGCACACATACATTATTTACTGCATCATTTTTACAATAGTAAATGGTTGTCATTTAGGTGCCAAGCAGGAGAACCAGAAGGTTGTTGGATAAAAGCAGAACATTCCATATCATCTGTGGTGTTACTATCTGTATTTTCTCAGGTGAGGAAACCAAAAACTGTTAACTATTATGTTATAATCATATTTTATAAATGGTATTTTTAATTATTCTATAAATTATTTACTGTCACAAACCCGTGATTTTCTTAATACTTAAGCTTAATTTTCTCTTCCATGTTTTTAAAGAGGGTTGTCTATTGGTGCTACAAAAAATGTGTGTCTTATGCTAAGTTTGACCTCCAAGCTGGTAACGATTGTTTCCTAGAGGTAAATAATTTAATTTAAAAAAGATGAAAAGAAGCAAACTAAAAGTTTTTAAGCTCTACAGCTAATATAATAGGAATGTAACTGCAGCAAAATTGGATTGAAAAATGTAAATTCATTGAGTATGATACCACCCAAAATTTTATTTGATAAATATTTCTTTGAAAATGACACTTACTTAGAAGAGCATATTTCAGAAATTTGTGGAAATTGATCCTGCTCAATTCTAAGTTGAAATATAAAGTGAGAAACTTTTTTTTAAAGAATCGTTTTAAAATAAACATTTATCCTAAGTATTTATATAATACTTTAAAATACTTTGGAGCAGAAAGTAATAAATATATGATTAAGTGCATAGACTCTGGAGATGGATTATGTAGAGTTTATCCCCAGCTGCCCTTCTGCTCAGAGAACATGCGTATGAAGTTCTTAGGGTAGAATTTGTTATGATAGTTTACAGTCTGAGGGGTAATTATCTCAGTGGCATAGCCCCTGACATTTTTATATGGTTGTTATTTGTAGAATAGATCTATTTTGGTGCTAGGAACCTTTGGTCTGAATAGTTTTGTAAGGCAATTTTGAACCAGGAGTGTTTGGATACAGCTATTACCAAGATAGACTTTAAGCTTTTTAATAATTACCAAGCATTTCTTCACTTTCTCATTCCTAAACATCTATCTTCCCATTGGTAGTTGCCTCCTTTGGAGGTGAGAGATGGGGAGAGGCTCCGGGATGGGATTAGAACTCCGATACAGCCAAGTCTAGGGATGGAGTACACATCAGGAAGAGATGGGGGCCACGGGTGTGATAAGGGTTAGGGATGGATTAGAGCTAGGGAAGGGGATCATGAAACACTGGCACATTCATAGCTTCATTTGTTCTCAACCATACTTGCATTCAAATATTTTGGTTCAGTTGCAGAATAACCACTACTGAGGTGGTGTAGAGTATTGCCATGAATGAGCATGTTTCCAAGGGGGTCTGCATTCTGCCCCTGACTAGTGGTCTGACTTAGCTAAATTATTGTTCTAATCTTAGTTTTCTTATCTGTAAGACAGGGATGATTCTACTTACCTCACTGTTTTATTGTTAAAATTAGAAGTCTGATGCATGAAAATTCATGTTAGAATGGGCTTTCCTTTCCCTGGCTACTGGCACCATCTTTCCACTCCAGCCCAGCCCCTTTCCACTCAGACCCCAGAGCCACCTCTTTTCACTCTGGCCCTGCCTTCCTATGCTGCCCAGAGGCCCTAAGAGACCAGGGTGGGACAGAATGCCCCCATCACTCGGCGCCTGTGTATGCAAATTAACCACCATCTTTGTTGGGTTAATTTACATATCACTCCTGATTGGCTGGTGGTGTAGTGGAGGTACAGTCAATTTACATGTTTGTCTATTATTAGGTAAGATTGCTATACAAAGTGCCTGGCATAGCTTTCTCCCTGATGACTAAAACTAGAAGCTTTTAATTCTTTTGACCTAAAAGGCCTTATAAAGAAGGAGAATGTATCTCATACAGATACCACCTAGACCTTATATTTAGGAGAATTCAGAAAGAATGGCTATTCCTCAAAGGAAGCCTTTATGCTTTTGACCATTAAGTATGTAGTTAACATATAAATCTTTAATTTTAAATTAAGGTAATTTTTTTACTATTAATTTCTGAAGTGCTGAAGCCATAGGATAGGGGTGTCGAACTCAATCAGAGAAGGGGCCAAAATCTAAAATCCAGCCTAAATCGCGGGCCGAATGGTTTACTGAACAGTCATAAATTGTCATTGTGATGGAAACGCAGCGGAGTGCAGTGATGACAGCGCGGTGTGGGCCACATTGCAAGGCCTGGCGGGACGGATTTGGCCCGCGGGCCTTCTGTTTGACACATGTGCCATAGGAGATAGTTTTGCTTAAATAATGTTTTATACCTGTGCCAAAGTTGAGGCTCACTTAAATGTTCTTTGTTTTATATATTTGAAACTTTGCCATTGCTTGTTAATTAATCCACTTTAGTTCTCTGATCACCTTTTTGTTGCTGTTGTTAATCCTCACTTGAGGATATTTTTTTCATTGATTTTCAGAGAGTGGGTCCCAGATTGGTGAGGGTGCAGGCTGGGCTGAGGGACATTCCCCAGCCCCCGTGCATGAATTTCATGCACTGGACCTCAAATATATATATAATCTTGACTTACAAAGGTTCTTTTATTTTAGCCTTTGAAAATTCAGTTTCTTTACTTGATTTTTTTATACTGAAACTGTCTGTAATTAAGATTGCTTGTGTCTTTAAAACTCCCCTTTTAAATTTAAAATTTTATTGCTCACGAAGCTGTCAAAGTTTGATCCTGTATTTACTTAGAGGGAAGAGCTGAATCCTCTTCATAGAACATTCCTGAAAATTAACCCCACTGATTTGTGCCTGGTGCAATTCTGTAGGTGTGCACGTGGCTGCCCACCTGGTGAATGTCCTCAGTTTCTCAGAGAACTACCGTGAGGATTTCCTTGAACTGAACGTAGCAAGATACCGAGACGAGGTGGGTGGTGTCTGTCTCCTCATTTGTCTTCCACTCATCATGAGATGACTAATGAGGGCAAGCCATTTTCACAGAAAAATTTCTACCTTGAGTGCTCTTAAATGCAATTGTCAACTTGAGTTTTATTCCTTTTCCATTGGAAATAGAGGTAATTAATGTTTTGCAATCTCCTCTGCTGGGAATGGGAGTTGGGCGAGTGTCTGCTCTTTTTGATGGGCAGTGTTCAGATGGTTGCCACTCAAGCCTGCCTTCTGCCTCCCAACAGCCTTTGTCTATGATAATTCCCTGTCATGCAGTGGGGACTGTCCACAGTACCATTCAAGGGTGACAATCCTTAACTCAGAAACTATGCTTGGGGGAAACAGGGCAGAAAAACAGGTTGATCATTTGAGGGTCCTGGATAATCAGGACATTATTGAGTTTTTTGTTTTGTTTTAAAAAAATATATATTTTATTGACTTTTTTACAGAGAGGAAGAGAGAGGAATAGAGAGTTAGAAACATCAATGAGAGAGAATCATCGATCAGCTGCCTCTTGCACACCCCCCACCGGGGATGTGCCCGCAACCAAGGTACATGTCCTTGACCGGAATTGAGCCTGGTACCTTTCAGTTCGCAGACCGACGCTCTATCCACTGAGCCAAACTGGTTTCGGCCATTATTGAGTTTTAATGATTCATTCATTGGTTTTGTTTTTTAATCCTCGAAACAGGTGACCTTGAGCTGAATTCTGTGGCAGGCAATACCTGTCTTAGGGGTGCCTTTCTCCATGTGCAGCTGCCCATGAAATGAAATTATGTGTGGGAGGAGCCAGGCCAGAGCCTGATGAGCAGCATATGCACAGCCCTGGTTAGATCTCTGTGGCTCAGTATTTTCATCCTGTCCCCGGGCTGTCCTTGCTTCATGCCAAGACAGCATTAAAACCCCACTGTTCCGTTTTCCATTTGACGGAACTCTCCCTGTTCTGCTAAGTCTGTTAGTGACTTAATGAGATATTCTCCTCTCACTCTCTTTTCTCCTCCACATATCACCAATTTTAGCTAGATTAATATTGCTCATATGTTTGGCTCCCTCCCAAAACAAAACAAAACAAAAAAATAGCAAACAGAAACATCTCAAAACCGAAATCATAAGCAGCCTTTGATAAATCCTTTGACTATAATAGTGTTTTTGAAGCCACCAGTATGATTTAATTGATCTGGTTTTGGGTCAGGCATTGTTATGTTTTTCAAAATATATTTTTTACTGATTTTCAGAGAGGAAAAGAGAGGGGGAGAGAGAGAGATAGAAAACATCAATGATAAGTGAGAATCATTGATTGGCTGCCTCCTGTACACCCCCTACTGGGGATTGAGCCTGGGCATGTGTCTTGATCTCCTGATTCATAGGTCCACACTCAACCCCTGAGCCACACTGGTCAGACAGGCATTGTTATTTTTAAAGAGTTCACTGGGTGATTGTAGTGTGCAAGAACCACTGGAAAGTCCAGCTTTATAGCAGGATAATGGAAGTTCTTTCATGTAATGAATTCAAATCAGAGCCACCACTTCCCCATTTACCACCACATCCATCCAACCCTCTGTCCTCTGCAATTTCCTGTTTTAACTTTGCCTTCTTTGCTTCTCTCTTTTGTTTTATAATTCATATGTCTTTAATAATTATACTGCTAATATTTTTAAAAAATGTAATATAATTTTGTTTAATATTTTAATACATGTAGTCATTAATTTTATTTTTTATTTTAAAAGGGATATATGCTCAGTGCAAAATACTTTAAAACTCCCAAGTACATGAAAAGTAAAGCTTTCCCTCCCAAAATAGCCACAGTTAATAATTTTATGTTTTCTCTTAAGATATTTTAAATGGTATTTTATGATCCAGATTTCTCAGTAATTTACTTGCTTCCATAAATATATGTAATGTGGCTTGCTATATTAGAAATATATCTTATTCCCTTCTTATTAACACGCTATTATATCTTTTTAGCCTTTTCCTTATTCACAGATGTTTAGGTTGATTTCTAGTTTTTCTATGATTTACTCGCCAATAAATTATTATTATTAATATTATTATTAATATTATTATTATTTTTGGTACATTACTGCTAGGCATTTTTATAGAAGTAGCATTTGGTTTCAAAGGCATACTCATTTTTAATTTTCAATGGACATTGCCAAATTTCCTTTCAAAAAGGCTTCACCAGTTGATTTACTTCTACCAAGTTTATCAGAATGCTTATTTCTACACCTCACTTAAAAAAAAAACAAAACCACAAAAACATTTTGCCAAACTGATGGATGAAAAAAGGTAACTAATTTTTAAAATTTATATTTCCCCTTTTTTTAGTTCCTTCCTTCCATTGTCCCATTTTATTTCCATTTCCTCTTTTTTAAGATAAATATTTTTTATTACCTTGTAGTTAAAGGCAATGTGTGCTAGATAAAGATGAAAAATACACACACATATGTTGCATGAAAATACAGATATATTCTTCTATGAATTGTCTCTGAAAAGAATAGGTTTGTGCCCTTCACCTATTGTTCTTGCTTTCTGCTTTCATTCTGCCTCCTCCAGGTCTTCAGGGATACATACTTGAACTTGTGATGGTGGCAAATTCTTGGCCTAGTTGAATCTGCCTCATCTTGTCATCTGTGAAACCAACTCTTACTCTCACATTCCATCTTTCTTTTGTGGCCATATTAATTGTTCCATCTTCTGAGTTCCCATAGCTGTTTATCCCACTTCATTCAACTCATCTTCTATTTTTAGCAGTTGTTTAAACATTGGGTTGCTCTATGTTACTCTTTAGCCAGGTGTAGAAGGCAGTTGACCTAAGCTGGATCAGGAGCTATTCCTAAGCCAGTGGTCCGTACTCAGTGCCCCTGGAATTGTATCTTACAGAGCCTTCCTACTTTGTAAATACCTGGCCTGATCCCAGACTCAGTGGAAGCATAGGATGAAATTCACAAGTTGAGCAGTATCAAGCACCATTAGGCTGAAAAAAATAAATAAATCTACAAATTTACTGGGGATTAATCTAAGTTTCCCAGAAGATAGAAAAGCAATTGACTAAGATTCATCACACCATGAGATAAGTAGTTTAAATAAAACACAATATTAATGCTTTATATTTTTGAGAAACGGGAACCTTTTTATCCTCACTACCTTTCATGATGTTTGAAACATAAATTCTCAATTAGTAGTCTTTGCACTGAATTTACAGTGTACCAACCCTTCCTGGATGTTTTATCACTTTTGAGTCCCACTGTCTTGATACGTTGTAGGGGTAGTTTGGTAATCATGGTATTAATGTTTCCACATTATAGCCAAAAATACTGAGTTTCAATTTGGTCAAAGAGTGGACTTCAGACCACAGCCCCTGGCTTTTCATTTGCTATCAAGTTGAAGCTTAAGCCTTCACATTCCTCATCCTCTCATTTCTCAACTCAGAGATGGATAGACTTCTCTAAGTTGAATTTGTACTTGTTATAATCTACTTTAGCATCATGAAACCATTATGAAACTTGATGGGAGAATAGTATTTTAAATAATTAATACATGGATCTTATACCCAGCCCAATTCCTTGTAGAATGTGATATTATCAATGTTTTATCTTTCATTCAAATATTTTTCCCCCCTTTTCCTCAGGATCCTAGAAAACTTCTTTTCACAAGTGGTAAGTTGTTATTTATTGCTCTTTCTTAAAATTCAGGAACATTTTTTAAAATACGCATCATAAAATTGTATGACAGTTAGATGTATGTTGAAATATAATATATAGACGTTTGCATATCAGAACAAATATTAGGAAGAGTTCAAACATAAAGTTGCAATGACAACAAAGGGACAAGGCAAGTAGTTGGGGTTAAATAAAGAGCAAGAGTAAGCAAATGCATTTGTTTTTCATATGTTCTCTCAATGAAAGCAATATAATGCCATATGCTTATTGAGGACCTGCTTTGTGCACTCTGCTGTGGCAAGTGCTGTTGGAGATAATGCATGTGGAATAGGTTCCTGGCCTCAAGGTGCTGGAAAGGAACATCAAGCACTCTGAGCATCATTGTAGTTCTGATAATTCAGTACTTTAGTAGGATATTTTACAATTTTAAAACCCATAAAACAGAGGAGAAACAGTCATCAGTTATTTTTCTTGTAATGTGTCCTCTTTTTTACTTGTAATTTACTTTTTCTTCTGAAGCATGTTGTCCATGAAATCTCAGTCTAGACTGTTAATTTGTTATTCAAACCACATACGAATATCCAAACATTTACTGTGATTTTAGCAAAATTCATACCAAAATTCTTCTCTTTTCAACTTTACATTTATACTGAAAAAGGAGAAAACTGTATTTTGGAGGATTTTTTAGTACATATTCCAGGGATTAGGACTTGTGGGTAGTTGAGATGGATGAAGGCTTGGCTATAACACCCTACTAAGGATCAGACTTGTATGTATTATAGAACTGAGGCATGGCCCTGTCAAATGCATTATTTTTCTTTTCAATAATTTTATGATGAAAAAGAACAAGTAATCAGGTGCTTCCCCATCCATGTCACAATTATATGGATGGTTAGATTTATAAAATACTAGAGGCCTGGTGCAGAAGTTTGTGCACGGGTGGGGTCTGGCCCACCATCCCTAACAGCAGCCCATTGGGCTGGGGGGGAGGGGTTGTAGGCAGTTGGTGGCTGGCCCTGCCCCTGATTGGGGTGTTGGGGGCCGACTGGGGGCCAAGCCAGCTGGAGGCTGGAGGGGGGACGATCAGGGCCCAGATCAGACTAGTTGGCTTCTGCAGTGTGCGGCATAGCCACCAGTTGTTCTGGTCATTCAGGTCATTCTACCATTCCGGTCACTGGTCTTTATATATATAGATATTTTGTCTCTGGCTTATGGTATTTGCCCATTGCAAAGTATTTCACCTTTTTCTTTTTAGGAATGCAATTTAGTTTTGTTGACAACTTTGCTCATTGAAACATGGTTTTATTTAAGTCCTAAGAATTGCATGAGAAATTGAGGGGAGAAAAAGCAGAATCAATGTATTTTTTGGTTCATGTGGAATAATGTAAAAGAAGTAAATATTTTGATATTATTTTCTGTAGCACACAGCATAGTTGAAGCCTTGGAACATTTGTAATGTTTTAAAAAGCTTAGTTTACAAACATATAAAAAATGTTCTTAAATGATAAAGATGTTCCATTAAGATACTTAGTATAATTAATATGTCTATATAAACAGGTGATCTTTCCACCTATGCATGAAACTCCATCACCTCTGCTCTTTCCCAGAGATTTTCACGAGTGATGTTGGATTAAGTAGAGACGATACTTAAAAATATAAATTTCCTGGTTCCAGTCTAGAAAGTCTGTTGGGCTGGGACCTGGCAATGTGCTTTATTAATCTTCCTATTGACCTTGGGAGCTTCTGTTTTACCCGGATGGAGCATCTCAACAGACGTCTTGAGCATAACTTCTCACTGTCACCTACATTTGCCTACTCTCTTAGCTTACTGTCTTTTTATTACCTGGCCAACTCCTACGCAACTTTTAAATCTCAGCTGCCTTGCACAAATTCCACTAGGCAGAGCTGGCCTCTTCTTGGTCTAGGTTTCTAAAGATACATGGTAAAAATATTATGTTGTCAAATAATTTATTTCCTTACATATTGCTGTCTTTTCCACTTGAACATGAGCTTTTCCAGGGTGGGACAGTGCTGTCTCAAGGGCATGCCAAGGACCCAGGCAAATATTTTTGTGGAGTTTCTGTCAGTGCAAACCACATGCATCACCCAAAATCAGCATGTTAACATCATTTGGTGTCTCAGTCCACATCATTTAATGAAAGCAAACCATCCACTTCCCAGGGGTTCAGCTTGGAATGAGGGTGGGACTCCCCTAAGCATGAGTCTAGAGCTCCTTGGGTTTCTGATTGACCCCACTGAATAGAAGCAGGTAAGAGAACAAGGCAGAATCAAAGAATAGTAATGGGATAAGTGACATTGCTTTTTACAAATAGGCTTAATCTAGTTTTGTTTTACTAATACATCTCTGTCTAAAACTATTTTATAGCTATCTTTGAATTTTGTCAGGCATAATGCCTCGAAAAAATTTAGTTCCTGATGAAGAACTGCATACATGCTTCCAGCTGTTCTAGTGATAAAGAATTCTTTTTATTGATTGACTTATTTATTGGATTTTAATTTGTTTAATGTTACATAGTCTTTTCTCTATCTTTAAAATTTCTCAATGTAGCCTAGGTCTGAGAAATTAAGATTATCTTATAAAAAATAAAGGCAGTTCAAGTGACAGAAAATATGGTATTGACTCACTAAATTAATTTTTTTTTAATATTCGAAGAATTTAAGAAATAAAATAAATTTAAAAGATTAGATTACTCAAACATTTACTTAAAAGGTATGTACACATATAATAGCTTAATGAAAAAATGAGAAAATAAATAAATAGAATTTAGAATTTAGAATTTAGAACAAAGGAACTACCTATCACCAAATTTGGTAAATGCACAATATCCAATTTATATTAGAAAAACTCTCGTAAACAAATATAATTATGATTCTAGTTGGAAAGAACAGGGTAATAAATACAAGATGCTATATTGCTGACCACATCTGGATATGAATGAAAATTATCTCTTAGTTTCTTCTAGAAATGGCAGTGTAGTGAAATAATTCATTTAAAGGCTACAAATTAATGGATCTAATATGCATAGATAAAAAGCACTAAGAATAAACATTCATACATTTATTTTTTATTTTATTTTTTAAAAATATATATTTTATTGATTTTTTACAGAGAGGAGGAGAGAGGGATAGAGAGCTAGAAATGTCGATAAGAGAGAAACATCTACCAGCTGCCTCTTGCACACCCCCTACTGGGGATGTGCCCGCAACCAATGTACATGCCCTTGACTGGAATTGAACCTGGGACCTTTCAGTCTGCAGACCGACGCTCTACCTCTGAGCCAAACAGGTTTTGGCCGTACATTTATTTTTTATTTTTTTATACCTTTTTTTAATTAAATTATTATCTGTGTACATATTTTAACATCTCCCCACTCCCATATATACCCTCCCTCCCCAGAGTTTTGTGTCCATTGGTTGAACTTATATGCATATATATAAGTCCTTCGGTTGATCTGTTATCTCCCCCAGATCTCCCTACCCTCTCTGCTGTAATTTGACAGTCTGCTTGTTGCTTTACTGTCTCTATATCTATCTTTTGGTTCATCAGTTTATAATGTTCTTTATTATCCATGAATGAGTGAGGTCATATGGTGTTTCTCTTTCATTGACTGGCTTATTTCACTCAGCACATACATTTATTTTTTATGTTTTATTTTTACCAAATAAACAAGTATAGGTTTTGCTCCATAAGTTGAAGGACTCAAAGAGTTCACAGTATATTTCCACTTTGGCAAGTAACTTTGCCCAGTGAAGTTAGACTAACCCAATAATTTCCAACCTGTGCTTCCTGACTGTTGGTCTATGTGTAGGAATAGAGGCTAATATCCTCAGCTTTAGCTAAACTGTCATTTCAGGCTAGGTTGGGGTAACCTTTGATGTACCTCAAAAACACATAATGCTTAGCTCTCTTTTAGCACATAACACGCTTGTTACAATTACCTGTGTGTCTCATCTCCCAGACTAGAATGTAGAGCAGGATTCATTTTTTTCTCTGGTTCACTATAGGTGACCAGAAAATATTCACTGAAAGGATAAAAGACACTTGTTTAACTCTACTACTTGATGCATAGGCCTTCTCTACAATATCTTAGATAATTTTTTGGCCAGACTCTATTTGTTTAATTCCAGTGACCAAAAAAATCATAATTTCTTAAGATATCACCCAGCCCCTTCTTTTGGATCATTCTAATTGCAATATTTTTTTAATTGCTAGCTGTAAGTTTTTCTTCTTCATTGACCTGAAGTATGTTACCTTGTAAACTATAAACTCTGGCCTTTTTATACTTCCGGGAGATAGAAAAAAAAGATGAATTTTTTGCATTAAAAAGCATTGAATTGATTGACCCTAGTTTACAGATGGGATTCAGTGAGATCACAGTTTGGCCTAAGGGAAGTAACAGGGGTCATGATGCCAGGATAAACATACCATTGCTCAAGGAGTCTGGGGTGTCTAGTTCATCTTTAAATGACTGAGGTCAACTTGTCTTACCCTCTCTAAGTCTTTTGGATATGTTTTTCATCTTCTGTTGTAAAAGGAGTTCTCTAGTTAAATGTTTGAGGAAATATCTGTTCAAATTTAAACTGGTTTCTTGACTTGAGCATTTCTCAGAAACTTTAATACACTAATGTGCCCTGTGACTTCTCAAGGAATAGTTTTAAAATCCTTAAGTAATATATATTAATATCCCAAAGAATTAATGTTCCAATAATACACTTTGGAAATTGTGCCTCTATTTTAAACACTCTCAGTTTTTTCCCCCCTAGGTGTCCTCTCCATGAAGTGGTTTGCAAACATTCCATAATTAATCTTGACATGTTTAGAACCACATAGGAAATCTTATATGTAAACACAGCAGACATAGTGAATCTCTGTAATAATAAAATAATAAAATCACTATAAAGGCCTTCAGCCACAAATTTCACATTATGGAGCCACCTGGGATTCTGTCATTTATTTATTCATTTGGTCAAATAGGATCTATTTTAATTACTTGAAGCAAGGAAGACCTATTTTTTCTTAAAATTTATTGAATTATAATTGAAGTACATTAAATTATTCATATGTAAATTATGCTACTTTATTGGTTTTGACATATGTTTACACTTGTAAAATTATGACCAAAATTAGGGGAACAAACATATTATTCTAAAAAGTTTTTGTACCCCTTTATAATGCATCCTACCCTCTATCTATCCTAACAACTAATCTGCTTTCTATTACTAAAGAATGATTTGAATTTTCTCAAATTCTATGTAATAAAGAGATGATATGCAAATTGACCATCACTCTAACACAGAAGATGGCCACCCCCATGTGGTCAAAGATTGCTGCCCCCATGTGGACACAAGATGGCCAGCAGGGGAGGGCAATTGCGGGGACCAGGCCTGCTGGGGAGAGCAGTTGGGGGGAACCAGGCTGGCAGGGGAGGGTATTTGGGGGCAATCAGGCTGGCAGGGGAGCAGTCAGGCATTGATCAGGCTGGCAGGGGAGTGGTTAGGGGGTGATCAGACTGGCAAGCGGAAGTGGTTAGGGGCAATCAGGCAGGCAGTAGAGCAGTTGGGAGCCAGCTGTCCTGGATTGTGAGAGGGATCCCAGATTGGAGAGGGTGCAGGCTGGCCTGAGGGACCCCCCCCCACCCTCCCCTTGCACGAATTTCATGCACTCGGTCTCTGGTGTTATAAAAAAGGAATCATAGAGCTTATATTCTTTTGGATCTGGCTTTTTTTACTCAGCATAATAGTTTTGTGATTCATCTATGTTGTTGTGTATAAATCAACAATTCATGGTTGTTGCTGTGTATTTTACCACTGATTACTCTTCCAGGTACAGCTAATAATATTACAATTGTTTATCCATTCATCTGTTGATGAAGATTTGAGTTGTTTACAGACTTTAACTATTCAAAATAAAATGCCAATGAACATTTTTGAACCCATGTCTTTTGTGGATATATGTTTGTTTCTCTTGGGTAAATATCTTCAGAGTGGGAAGACGGCCATTTTGTAAGCATGCTGTTCTTTTTAAGTAGTATTTTTCTGAACTATTAGTTTTTTAGTGTAAACTAGTGCAGTTATCTTACCCCTAAGAAGTAAGTCCTCACCTGGGGCGATGGGAAGGTTGATGGGAAAAGAAGTGGAGAGAAGAGATGGTTTGGATTAGGCACATCATCAGGGAAAGGCAAGTGTGGTTTGGCTTCCAACTTTGTGTACTGGGAAGAGTAGAGAAAAGAGTACTAAAGATTTAATTATCCAAAGACTAAATCCCTTATTCCTCTTGTGGCCCTTTACATGTAGAAATTTATTTCTACTGAGATTTCTAAAATTTTTAAAGATCCTAACCCTCTGGAATCCTAATACAGTAATGTACTATATTGCTCTAATTTTGTACCCAGCTTTTCTGCTTCTGCTACAGTCCATGATAGCCTTTCTGTTTCATAGATGGTTCCTTGGCAAAACAGAGAAGTGGGGAGATGTCTATATTTTTGGAGACAGAATTATTTCATTAGCTTTTCTATGAAGATTTAACATGAAATCTCTCAGCTAGGACAGTTAGAAGTTACTGTTACTTATATGATTTTAAGAATAAATTAAGGTAATTTATAGATAGGCTTATTATATTTGGTAGTAAAAAGATAATATAGAATGAGAATATTTTGGTTTTAGCTCTTTTTGATATAGATATTGAACTACTCATTTTTAGACATGCTATATGAGCTAACAATAGATTTGTAATAATCTATCATGTCAATATTAATTTTAAAAACTAACATATTTGCACATTTAAAAATGTTATATCATATCAGAAGGGCTGATTTCAGCAAGTTTTCATACTAGAAGAAATATTTCTGCAAGTGTTCTGAAAACACCAGCTCTGTGATTCTTTTTCTTGAATTCCAATATTTTCTGTTTTATACTTTAAGTTGTGGCTTTTAGGAATTTTTACATTTTCTTTAACATTTTTAAAATATTCATTCTAGATAAGAAGCCTAGAAGAAATTATTTGAAATTGAGATGGAAGGAGCTCCTAGTTACATTAAAGAGGGGAGAGAGAGTAGGTGTTTCGTGCCATGGTAGGGACAACCAAATCAGTAGGGTGCTGAATATCAATCATGTACCAAGTATTAATTACTAACAGTTAATATGTATGTACCTGTAGAATTTTTGAAAATACAAAAACAAACCCTCTATTAAAGGTAGAAAGGACTATTTTGTATTAAGTTCTTTGAAATTGTGCTAATTTTAAAAAGTGCTCTTTTGAGAGAAGCATACAAAGGAGGTATCTGATTTGAATCGGGCTTCCCTGGGAGCAGCATAATACTTTGGATGTTAAGGCAATGATTTTTGTACTTTTTTTCCTCTCAGTATGACTTACGTTAACATGTACTTACGTACATTTTTATAGTTCCTGGCCTGACAGGCGTCTTAATGGTATTGGTGCTGTTCCTGATGATTACAGCTTCTACGTACGCTATCCGGTGAGTGTCAGAGGCATGGCCTCAGTATCTGTGGGTCAGATTATTTCATTTTCTTCAGGTTATCTTCATTTTCATGTGTAGAAAAACTCTTCCTTAACCAGAATGCTTAGCCAGTGTAGTATTCGTATGAATAGACTATTGTGGGTAACTAAGAGTGATGTAAAGCCATTTCTATATCCATCATTTCATGTTTTGGAAAAAGAGAATCTCTGTTTTGGTCAAATAGTCTAGGTTGGTAAAGAATTGTGTATGGAGACTTTTTAAACTAAGGAAATCTAAGTTCTTCAGGGGCATTCTTCCTGGAGAATTGTGTGTCTATGAGACATGGAATTGAATTCAACATGTATGCGCAGGAACATAGCAATTAAAATTGGTTTACAACTCATTTCCTGCTTATGAGTTTGTTTTTGCTGTAATTTAATGTAATATTCCAAACAAAGCTTTGGAGAAATAGTTGACATCTGCTAAAATAATCAGAAATATCTGCATTCACAGTATTTTTCTAGTTACGAGATTTTGAGCAATTGCAGACACACATTTTTATGAACACTTTCATATGTTCTTTCTGGTGGGTACATCTGTTTTACACAATATTTTACAGTATCTTATGTTACTGGTGAAACTTCTTGCTTAAGAAAGCAAAAAGAAGAAACTATATAATCTTCAAAAGTTGTCATTCTAATTGTTTTTTTTAAATATGCATTTTATTTATTTTTTTTACAGAGGAAGGGAATTGGGATAGAGAGTTAGAAACATCAGTGAGAGAGAAACATGGATCAGCTGCCTCCTAGAACCTCTACTGAGGATGTGCCACAAGTAAGGTACATGCCCTTGACTAGAATCGAACCTGGGACCTTTCATTCTGCAGGCCAACACTCTATCCACTGAGCCAAATCAGTTAGGGCTCATCCTAATTGTTGAGGTGTTGAATTTAATGGAAACACACACACACACACACACACACACACACACACACACACACACACACTTTGAAAGAAATTGTCTCCCATACCATGCTCAAATGAGTCTGTCTTTGCACTTCTGCACACATCTATGCTCACAAACGTACACCTCAAAATCTCACAAGCAAACTCACCAATCAGATTAACACTATAAACTTCCTGGTGTTATGTCTGTATACTTCATTCTTCCTGCTTTTGCTCACTCATGCCCCATGTCATACATCTACCAAAATCACTCTTTTTCTCTCCCTTTCACACTGTCTTTTCAAGTCTGCATTTTACCAAAATTGGACCATTTTATTATATTATATGTGCTATTTTAAACTTGCTTTTTCTTAAATCTTGTTATGAGCATTTTTCTCTTTACTAACGGCACAGCATATTACCAAATACACATACATTACTCTCCCAGCCCTCTATCATTGTATGTTTCAGGTTGATTCCATTTTTTTTTTTCAGTATTTCAATTGTGAGACAAACACACTCTCTGTAAGTCTTTGCATACTTTTTAATTATGTCCTATGGAAAAATTCTTAGATGGTGAATGGCTGAGTCAATTGGTAAGCCCATTTTTGTGACTTTTTATAAGACTTAAAAACCACCTTACAGAAAGACAAATCTCTAACATTTGTGCAGCAGGGTACCAATTTTGTGGGAAAGATTTAATTTTAGTTAGGTCAATAATTAAAAAACTTACTTTTTCAGGTTTAGGGGCTCTTGAAGAAAAATTAGGGTATCTAACATATTTACTTATAAGAATAAAGTATGTAAATGTCCTATATCTAGAAAAAAAATCCTTAATTGAGAGATAGTGTTGTAGAAAGGAATATAAAGATCAGCTTCTGTTCTCAACTAAGCCTTTACATAAATAACTTGGTGACTGTGTCTTCATTGTTAATGTTTTCATTTGTTTAAAAGAGATTATAAAGCTCTGCTTTTCTTTAAGCTTCTTTGTGAGAATCATGAAATACTTAAATAGATCATGGAGATAATCTTTTACCTTTTCTCTTTACTAGTAAGGAAATAAAACATTAGAGAAATTAGGTGAATAAATATGACTTCACTATTTGATTTCTGGCATTTAAGGTAGTCTAATAATTCACCCAATGGTTCAATTGTTAATATAAGTAATATATTCTAACAAAGAACAATAATACAAACATATTTTCTCATCTCGAGAGACTTAGAAATGGCAGTTGTTAAATCTGACCTCTCATTAGAGTTAACTAAAAGTCAACTTTCTTTTTGAATGAAAAATTATAAAGGCCAGAACTGAGTTCATACTTACAGTGAAATATGAGATACATTCCTATGAAAATTATGAAACCGCCAAAGTGATGTTTTTAATTTCTTTAAAGGATGGCATTATGATAAGAAATAAAACATTTAGAATTATTAAATTCTAAATTAAACATTTAGAATTATTAGAAAGAAGGCAACAACAAATTATCATTACTTCCAGAAAGGTAGGTATAATTGCCTAGCCAGAAAACTCAAGAGAATTATGGAAAAAAAATTTTATATAAACTAAAAGAGTTAAAATGGGTAAATGATTACAAAACATATATTTAAAAATAGCTCTTATATAATAGCTATTATAAGTTTGAAAACTGAGTAAAATAAAAAGATAGCACTGATAATTTTAACATAAATAAAATATCTACAAATAATTTTATGAAGAAACTAAGTGAAAGTTATATAGAAAAAACACAACCTCACTGAGAGAAATCAGTAGAGATTTGAATAAAGACTATATAACCTAAAGATGCAGTTCTTCCTCAATTGTTTTATAAATTTGTTGCAATTCCAGTCAAAATCCAAGATAGGTTATGCTGTTTGCTTATTGAATTTAACAAAGTGATTCTAAAGTTCATCTGAGGGAATATCTAAGCATGTGTTCCAAAAGAGGAATAAAAGGGGGTATGTGGCTTACTAAACATTAAAATTATAAAGCTTCCTTAACTATAGAACTTGCAAAAATAACCAAGACATTGAACCAATGATAGAGATGATAGAAAGCCTTGTTAAGACACTTTGTTTTGTATAAGAACCTACTAATAAAGGTGCCATCACAAACTTATGATGAAAATAAAGAGTAAGTGAATGAAATTCAACATAACTTAGTTAACTATTAAAAAATGACAACATTAAAATTTTAATGGACAAGAAAAATATTGAAAATATCTGACTTTCAAAAAATAGGTAAACTAAAGCCGTGTTTCCCAACCTTCTCTCATGATGAGAATCACCTGGTGGAGTTGTTGAAACACAGATTCCTGAATCCCAACTAAGAAGTGCTAAACTAGAATTTTTGGGAACATATAGGTAAAATTGTATACTTAACTAGTGCTCTAAGACAGATTTTATATACAGAGCACTAAGTTAGGTATGCAATTTTACCTATATGTTCTCAAAAATTCTAGTTTAGCACTTCTTAGTTGGGATTCAGGAATCTGTGTTTTAACAACTCCACCAGGTGATTCTCATCATGAGAGAAGGTTGGGAAACACTGAACTAAAGCAACACATGTTATAAAATATGAAATGTAACATGTTATTTGACAAATTATTATAGTTAAATGGAACTAGTACAGTCTTAAATTTTGAATAGTGTACTCATAAAAATTAAGGAAAATTCACTATAGAAATGGATAATTATTATGAATTGATAAGTAATAGAAGAATTAAAAGTGTATAACACACAAATGAAATAATTCCACTTACACAAAATAATGAAAACTTATAAAGTGGAAGATGGGTTTGAAGAAAAAGGAACTCCTAACGTTGGATTTGTAATTGATAAACATGTTTTCAGAGAGCAATGGACAATGTGTATCAAAAACATTGCATATGTGTATCTTTGATCTAGCAATTCCACTCATAATTATGAAAGAATTAGATATGTGCAAAAGGCATATGTGACAAGGTTGTTAGTGACCTTGTTTGTGATAGCAGAAACCGAATTAAGTAAGTGTGAATCAGTTGGCCATTGCTTACGTCAAGAGTTTTAAAAGGATCTGGGGGTTGAATCAGAATCCTCTCAGAAGTTTTTACAAATATCTTCCCTCCACCACTAAGATTCTAATATAGTAATATCTTCCCAGACATATGAAATAAAGTAACTGTTAGTTGTTGTTTTTTTTACTTGTCTCAAACATTCTATAGATTGTGTTATTCAGGCTCTTTGTTTTCCTGCAGGACAGAAGCACCAAGGTTGTACATTGTCCAGAAAACGAATATAAAACTTTAATGATCATTTACTTAATTCCTCTCAATTTGAATTTTCTTTAAACTACTCTAAATATTTATTGTAATAGGAATATTAGTTGTTTTCGAAGTCATTTAAAAATTGAGACTATCTATAGAAAGGACAGCAAATAGACATAGGAGCTGAGTATAACTGCTCCTTAGCCTTACATCATATCTTTAAAGTAAACGTTATTTTAACTTTTTCATGTCTTTATTTCAAATACAAAAATATGATAGTGTTATGTATAATTTTTGCCAGTTGTCTTTGCATGGTATGTAAGTCCTTTGACATAATAGGTAAATCTCAGATGAACTCATATTTGAACTTTCAATTGTGACATGTTTGAAATGCACACTCTTTTCAGTGAGATGAAATATGAAGTGGTATTGAAACTAAGTTATTTGTGTTCTTTTTCAGAGTTTCTAACTATGATATCTTCTGGTACACTCATAATCTCTTCTTTGTCTTCTACATGCTGCTGATGTTGCATGTGTCAGGGTAAGTTATAAAAAATATTTTTTTAAAGCCATGTGTGTCTAAAAATGGGGTAATGAAAGAAAGATACATTTGCAGGAACTTTCATTGGGAGTGGTAAATTATTTGGTTACTTAGAATTGAGGGTAGTGTCAAGAATGGAAGAAATACCTTTATTTTTAGCATAGCATGTTTAATGGAACTAGTATAAAACTATATTAAAATTGAGAAACAGAGTTACTTTTCCCTTGGTGTTATAATTTTTAAAGCCCCTGTAGCTACATCCTGATAACTTTTTTTTTAAAAGAAAATAAGAGGTAAAGAGTTTCCAGAAGATATTTTAGTATTAGAATTTCCAGAAATTCCTTATGTCTCACTGCTGTGGAATTTGTAATGATGGAGTTACCAGTTTTTAGTTTTAAAAGGCCTAGAGGCAATAATAGTTGTAGCGAGCCAAAGATTTACAATGACCAAAGACAAGGATGTGTCAAAACACCAGAAAATCACGCAGGGGAAAAAAGAAAGTATCCTAAGCTTGTGGCAAAGAATATAACCCAACTATTCTGAAAAGTATGTGGACCCAAGCAGTGTTCTCAAAAGTGCTTGAAATAATCCACTAGGTCAGAGGAAGAAAATGATAATTTTTGTGTCTGTATATGTCTGCATGGTCACCAGAATGGACTTTGGATTTGCTTCAACACTCACACCAATATGACACAGTGGGCCATTGTCTGGTGACAGAGTCACTTCATGTAGCAGAAGGATGCGTGGCAGGCAACACAGAATGTCAACAGGATAATGCCAGGTGCCTTTCAGTGGGAGTCTCTATTATTGTTCAGAAACCATTTTTCATCTCTTCTCTCTTAGCCCCAATGTGGTAACTCTGTTTTAAGATGACAAGACCATATGGATAGACATGGACTACTTTGCCTTAGATAAGGCTCACATTCTGCAGGAAACAGTATCTTGGTAAAAGCCCAGGTCTCCTCAAGGGATGCCTTCAGTTGCTAGAACACACTGCACATACAAAGCTGAGGTTGGGAGTCCTAAAATGATTTTATAATTCACTCACAGTCCTTCTGGTCCAGATGCATCCCACCAATAATAAATGTGTTGCCTGGTACACATCTGGCATTCTCCATTTATCTTAATCTCAGATGTTCCCAGGGGAAGTGTTGGAGAATGGTTCAGATCTGCTGTTAATTCTTTCTTCAGAGTGTTTTGTAGTGTACTTTGTCAATATAGGTCATATTCATAAATTGTATATTATTGTATATCCCCACCCCCCCCTCCTCCCTGATTTTGCAGATCACTGTTTTAGAAAGCAGTATTATACGGATCTCTGCCTCATAGGTCCTGGTTTGGTTTGTTCTGTACCATGGATCTAGACCATATAATTGCAGAGCATCAGAAACATAGCCACACATTGTAATCCCGATTTCCAGATAGCCATTTCTGCCACAAGGAATGGCCAATGGGAGTTTTTTTCCTTTGTAAGGATAACATCCTGTGGAGAATTTGGATACAAGGAAAGCCCTTGGTAGAGAAAATCTGCTTTATATTCTGTTCTTTAAGTGGTCTGTTTGCCTTCCCAGAGCTATTATCATAAAATGGACTAGGAGCAAGCAGATGCTACTAATGAACAGTAATTGAAAACAATTACATAGTGCCAAGTATAAATTCAAAATGATTTAGCTGCTTTATCTCATTAAAGACCATGATATTTTTTAAGGGTAAATCATGCAAACCCCCCCTTTACAAGTGGGAAAACTGAAGTTTAGAGAGAGTAAGTAACTTGTGGAAGTTTACTCAATGATGAACTCTGGTTTTAAATCCTGACATTCTGACTCAATAACTTATATGTTTTTTTTCTTTTTCTTTTTTTTTTCTCTTCACTATTAGGAGAGCTTAGTACTTCTGAGAATTTGGTCTTAGATTAAAAAAAAAAAGGGTTAATATCTAGATTTATCTCAGATTGTGATCTCTCTTTCTCACACACACAATATATAACAGATTAAGAAAAATGTAGTTATTTGTTATTATAATTATTTTTTTAATTAAATTATTATCTGTGTTATTATCTTACCATCCCCCCCCATACATACCCTTCCTCCCCAGAGTTTTGTGTCCATTGGTTGTACTTATATGCATGTATACAAGTTCTTCGGTTGATCTATTATCTCCTCCAGATCTCCCTACCCTCTCCGCTGTAATTTTACAGTCTGTTTGTTGCTTTACTGTCTCTATATCTATCTTTTGGTTCATCAGTTTATAATGTTCTTTATTATCCATAAATGAGTGAGGACATGTGGTGTTTCTCTTTCATTGACTGGCTTATTTCACTCAGCATGATGTTCTCCAATTCCATCCAGGTTGCTGCAAATGATGAGAATTCCTTTTTTATGGCAGCATAATATTCCATTGTGTAGATGACCATAGTTTTTTGATTCAGTCATCTGCTGACGGGCACCTAGGCTGTTTCCAAATTCTAGTTATTGTAGATTGTGCTACTAGAAACACCAATCAGAAAGGATATATGTACCCCTATGTTCATAGCAGCACAATCTACAATAGCTAGTATTTGTTATTATAATTTATGCATTCTTTGGCCTTTATGTTATACTAAGTTAAAACTCTGGAAAAAAAACAAAACACGCCTGTTTTCTTGCAGTTCAAAACAGAGTCGCTTTTTAAAGGTTCAGAAGTTCAAACAGACAAATTTAAATAGATTATATTGAGAGTTCTTTTTCCATTGTTTTTGAAAATTAAGGAAGGCATAGTTAAATTTTGTTTTTATTTTTTTGCAGAACAATGGTAATGAATAGAAAGTGATTTTATACAAAGAAATAATTAAAGGACTCTATAGGCTGAATTAAATGTAATTATACCAACTGAAGTAATAGTTTTTTACATATTACAGTAGAAATGAAAAAATTATCCTAATTCTAAAATAAATGTTATACAATAAAAACACAATACTATGAGCATTCTAGAGTGAAGATTTTTAAATGAAGTTTAATTTTAAAGTATAATTAACTAATAAAATTATATTATTTACAGTATACATTCTTTAAAGATAAATAAAATATACAGTTTTATGATTATACATATGTGTTCTGAAATTATTACCACAAGCAAATGAATTAACACATTCATCACATCACACAGTTTTTTTTAATCGTGTGTGTGTGTGTGTGTGTGTGTGTGTGTGTGTGTGTGTTTCTTTTTTTTCTGGTGAGAATGCTTAATATCTGCTCCATTAGAAAACTTCAAGTATACAATATAGTGTTATTAACTATAGTCACCATGCTGTACATTAGATCCTCAGAATTTGTTCTTATTACTAAGAGTTGATTGCCTATAAAGCTTATTTTTGAATAAAAGCTTCTAGTGCATGACAAACTATTGATAAGTTGTGCAGCTTTCTCAAAATGGACATTTCTCAAAAAAATTTTTTTTCATTGCTAAAGGCTCTTTCTGTAAGTAAATATCTTGAATTTATTAACCTCTGTGCCAATTTTGAAGACTTACACATATCTTTACCTATGAAATATCGTGATAACTTAATTCTTTAACTTTTGGTTACATGAGTAAAGTGCAGTTATTCAAAACGGATTACTTGGATTTATATTGAGATTCCTATTAAACAGTATAATTTAAATTTGAACAGGAAATCACTGTTTGCTGATCACTTATTCTTTTTTTTTTTATCAATATGCTCAGTACTATAATAATATAGAATAACAATTTCATGTGTGATCTTTAACTTCCCAACATTGGTAATTAGTTTGAAATTTAAATCAATCAGTTGAAATAGCTAAAGATAACTTTACACTAAACATTTTACATCTGTAAACATTTTCTTTTCAAGAATTCTATAATTTAGGGCATTGAAGGATCAATGTGGGTTAGAAATTTTAGAAAATTTTATGCTTTAAGGATGAAGCGATTAGAAATTTGCTGATTTTCCTACCTAAGCAGCAATTGCTTCATATGATTTTCTAAGGTCACTGTTATTTTCAGAGAATCTCAAATTTTGAAGGAAGCTTAAAGGATATCTTAACCAAGACTCTATGAATCTCCCCTACAACATGTCTAAGCCAATATTTTGAAGAGTCCATTCTGTTTTTGGGAAGCTGTAATTTTCACAAAGTTCTTTATCTTTTGAACCATAATTTAATTTCTAGATAGATTTAAAAAAATCTATAACCCTAGAGGCTATGGAAACTGAATCACTCTCCTCTAAATTCTGTTCATTTGTTTCTTGCATGATGATATTTCAATCTCATCATTATTATAAAGGTGTTTGTTTGAATGTATTAATAGTAAAAATTCATTAAGCCCTTATCATATATCTTTAAATCCTCCCAACAACTTTGGTAAAATCTGCTGCTGTTGCTGCTGTGGTTATTCCTGTGAGAGACCAGAGGCAGTGACAGGTGAAGTAACTTGCTAAAACTCATGGCAATTAGGAAGAGCTTGGGTGTGACCCCAGGAATCCGATTTCTAAGCTCACCTTTCTAACCCACTACATCATGCTAGCTGCAGTTTGCCACTGCTTCCTTGTATCGCTTTTAAATACATATTTTGTTGATTTCAGGGATAGGAAGGGAGAGGTAGAGAGAGATAGAAACATCAGTGATAAGAAAGAATGATCATTCAGCTACCTCCTGCATGTGCCCCATTCGGTATTAAGCCCACAACAGAGGCATGTGCCCTGACTGGGAATCTAAGCATGACCTCCTGGTTCATGGTTGACACTCAAACACTGAGCCACACTACCCAGGCCCTGTATTACTTTTAAAGCTGGGAACACAACTGAATGCAGGCTGTTTTGGTATGTTATCTGATGTTTGCTAAGTGGAAGTCTTACCTTCTTTGTTCCAAATATTTCATTCAGTAATATTTAAGATATGTGATTATTTGTGCCCTAGGGTTCAACTACTTTGCTGTTACTTATGTTTTAGATGTTTTCTTCATTATTTATAAGCCAATCAATTGTATGACACTCTAAAAACACACAT